CAGTTTTAATTAAGTTCAGAGTCACATACTAATGGCTCCAACTCGTGGTTAGCGTCCAGTAGGAGATTGTTTCTCTGCTGTTTTGAGACTCACAGAGCAATCGCTGATTAGTAAATGCCATTTTTGCATGTAACAGTTTCCTTTCTGTAGGTTAAAATCCTGACCTCAGAATCACTGGCTAGGCCAGCTTTTCATTTTGGTGCCAAATGCCTGCCCAAACAAGTATCTTTTGAGCTACTTACTGGGTTTTTCTTATTGTGCTATTAGTTGACCAGTATCCTATCCCCAGCTGAGATCAAATGGAAAGTCACCCCTTATTCTTCATATAACCATCTCAATGCACTACATGACAGGTAAGTTGCCTTCTCTGATTCTCTCAATGCTGAGCTATGCCTGCAGGTGCCTACGGTGTCAGTCAGCATTGAAAATCAAGAAGAGAAAGAGCAGGAGGGATTTCATGTGAGAAGAGTCGAGGCGAAGGGGTTTAATTGGGAGGATCCTGATTGCTTTGGAAACTTCTCCCAGGTGAAGTTAGGAATGGAAGGAAGTGATGAGTTGATCATGATAATTTGACTTTATCAAGTATGAATGATCTGGGTTTTATTTTATCTGTACTTACTGGTATTGAATAATCTAACATATTTAAATATCAAGCAAATGTTAGAACCTATGATCTTTATCTTTCAACTTATAGTTATAAGAGAAAAATTGGAAGTTTCCGGATAATTCTGGACACATCTGGCACAATATTTATAAATGGTGCTGTGTTAGTCCAGTTGAGCTGCTGTAACAAAATACCATAAGCTGGGTGGCCTATAAAACACAAGCATTTATTTCTCATAGTTCCGGAGGTTAGGAAGTCCAAGATCAGGCTGTTAGCAGAGTCCATGTCTGGTGAGGGCCCTTTCCTTATGGATAACGCCCCCTAGCTGTGTCCTCACATGGTGGCAGGAGGCCAGGCAGCATTCGGAGGCCTCCTTCACAAGGGCACTAATGCCAGCATGACGACCTAGTCACCTCCCCAAAGGCTGTGCCCCCCAAAAACCATAATCTTAGTGGGGGACATATACATTCAGACCACAGCAGGTGTTTACTGTTTTTGAGAAAGGCCATACAAAAGTGTGACATGAGAGAATCATTTGAAAATAGTGTAAAATCATAACCCTGAAAAGTTTGATGATCGTTTCTCGTGTGTGTGGTGAAAGAAAGTATACAAAGCTCTACCTTTCTGGGAAGCAATAGAAGAGCTTGAGACTTAGTATTTTCATTTCAGATCTTTCTTGTAATCTATTCCTCACTCAGAATGGGAAGTTTAAATGATGTTGAAGAAGAAAGAACAGGACTTTGCAGCCAAACAATATTGGCTTTGTTACCTTTTGGTTCTGTGAATCTGTGCAAATTAACCTCTCTGAATCTCAGTTTTCTCACTTACTTACTTCAAGTGTCGTGAATATTAAAGACAAAATACGGAAAACATGTAGCATGATGCGTGGAACAGAGCATTCAACCAATGGGAATTAATAATAACAAATTCTTATCACTATGGCTGTAACAATTATAAAATATTATTTGACATCAGGAAATAATCTTTTTTCTCTATGTTTTTCCATTTCAACACTCTCACTTCAATGTGTAGAAACTCAGGAATTGTAAAAGCAACCTCTTTACAGCATCTTCCAGACTTTGTAGACTCAGTTTTTATAATTTTCCCTACCCCGGCATCTAGCTTCTTTCTAAGCTGCTCCATCCATAGCAGCTAAGATTTTGATCCTTGTTTCTTAAATGGCTTTTCTGACATGAGAAGCACCAACATTAGAGGCAGTGAGAAGAATTCCTTCCATGACTGTGCCTTGGGGCCTTCATAATGATCAGGACCTCCCTCCCCTTTCTCAGCACCTTCTACAGCCTCACCAACCTTTCCCTTTCCATGGTCCCCTCCACCCAGCCTTCACACAGACCAGCTCTCTCCTATATGATGTGCAGACAGCTCTACATGGTCAGCTACCTGCTCCGGATGAAACGCCATGGCTTCTGCACACTGAGGAAAGAAATTCTGGATGGTCCTGGCGTTTAATTCCAAGCCCCTTTCAGTAGCTTAGTGGAGAGCTGAACCTGGGGGCACGAGTGAGGAACAAAGGGATCATCCGAGCCCCTGAGCCCGGCGACCCTTTCCTTACTCATCCACTTCTCTGAGAAAGAAGCTCTCCCTGTCACTCAGTCACCTGTCCACCTGTATAGAGCATTTCAGGGCTGGGTCCCTGTCCTGGAGTCCTCTCCATGCCCCACCTAAGCACACCTCTTGGTGGACTGTTAAGAACTTGGAGGATCGTGTGTATTCTGCTTTTTTTTTATTTGTGAATTTCTTCCCCCAAAAAACTTACTTTGTTTTTACAGTGTTTCACATTTCAGGTTTTGTTTAAGGAATTTTTTCCTACCTGAGGTCATAAAGATAATTTCCTACATTATATTTTTAAAGTATTATAATTTTTCCTTTCACATGTTAGTCTTGAATTTATCTGGGATTTTTGTCTATGTATAGTGAAGGTAATGATCCAAGTGCATTTATTTTACCCATTTGGATAAGCAATTGTTTCAGTTCTATTTATTAAACAGTTTATCCACTTTGTGCTGATTTTCAATCCTACTCTGACGTGAATTAAGTTTTCATATTTGTTGCATCTGTTTCCAGCTTGTCCAATTTGTTCCAGTTCCAGCCATCCTTTGAACCATACTTCACTGTCTTCCTCACAATAGCTTTCTAAGTCTTGATGGAGCAAATATTCCTACTTTGCTCTTCTCTTTTAGGAA